TCGCCGAATCCTTGCCCACTCTCCGATTCCCTGTTCCCATCAGACTGAGTGCTCCCATCTGGGCTGGTCCGTCGCAAAAGCTGGCACATGAAACTAAATAGACAGTTGTCAAAATAAGAAATACAAATGGCTGAGAAATATTTGTTCAGATAGATCTCTGCTAGTTCCAAGCTCTATGATCTTTTCCCTTAAAAGGTTTCTAGGTTCAGTCCAGCCAGGCTGTCTAATGAAGGATGGTTTGACCAGCAGATCATTCAATATCCAAGAAGCAAGTCAGAGACGTTCTTCCAAGAATGGGATGTCTCTGCTCCACTATATCCAAGATGTACATTTGTAGACAGAAGATGTGTTAGCTCTGGGCCGAAGAAGTCCCCAAGATATCCTTGCCTTAGACAATAGTTGGGCATTACAAAGTCATCTGAATGCTGTTATTCAGCCTTGGGACAATTTGGCCCCTGACCCCGAGCCTTTAAAATCTGTCCATATCTTCCTATATTTACTAATTTGCTCAATTTCCTGGATCCAGTCTGAGGACTTGTTGGAACTGGGGTCAGTGATGCTGAGGACTGTCTATTAAAGGTTGGTTGCTCAGAGATCCCAGGCCCAAATGCTACTCTAAGCATTATACTACGACCCACCCAGAACAGGGCCAGGATGCATCCTTAGCTGATAACATCTGGAAAAATCAACCTGCAGGAAAGGGTCTTCAGTCTACTTGCACGTTAGGGTTAAAAAAAGCAATGGTCATGTACATAGTTCTCTGGGAAACAAGGTTCAGCTTCTTTAACTTTGATCAGCAAATACAGGCAAAGAGCAGTGTTTCTTCCATTGAAATACCTAAGGAGTCAGAGATGCTGTCTGTCTTCATAGTCTTCACTGCCCTCCAACTTTCTCTCTGCTACTCATCACCCCTCATGTACTACTGAGATGAGTTTTATACTTCTGAAAGGTCTGGCCTAAACTCTACTGGCCGAGCACCTTGTTTAGGCTCCATATTTTTTATACATGTCCCAAAGTGTTGGCATTAGAGCTGAAAAACTGAGGTGGGAGACCTCAGAGATTCTCAAGTGCAGTCATTTTCATTGAATCACTATTTATGAGGCAATGAGGACTATTTGTTCTTGGGAGCCTGTTGGAGAAACAGCAAAACTTATTTAATGATTCCAAAGGCTAACTCTGGTAGTTTTGAGACTTACCAGGTCAGGCCTTGAGTTTTGTGAACAATAGAAAAATCTATCAGGGATACCTGACTCTGACCACTCAGTTTGTACAAATCTAGAGGTTTGCTCTTTAAAGGGTATGACTCTCGGTAGATTAGCCAGGTTCCAGTGGATGAGCCCACATCAAAGGGCATTTGGGGACACAAATTGGACTCTATAGGCATATATATATATATATGTGTGTGTGTGTGTGTGTGTGTGTGTGTGTGTGTGTTTGTGTGTGTATGAGCAGGCAAGGGAAAACATGAAATTGGGCAGGATTGGGGAAAGTAGCAGTTGCAGATAAGGGAAGCGATCTAAATATGATCAGAATATAGTATGAAAGTCACAAAAATTCCATTAACATGTGTACATGAAGATAATAAAAGCTGTGTGGTATAATTCTTTAGATAGGTGAAAAAGGAAGAAGAGGAGTGGCTATAAAAGAGATAAGTTTTGAAATTTTAGGTTTAGTGTGTTTGAGGAACTACCAAGAGAAGGTAGCAGCTTATAGCTAGACACAAAAATCTGGATTTCTCTGAGAAGTAGTTTTTCATGGCTATCAGGTAAACTACATCACCTCCACCACAGCTAGGCTTGAAGAGTTCACAGGAGATTGTTTATTAAGGCTACACAGTTTCTAGAAGTAGAGTCTAAAAATAAACTATGCTTGGAGTCCAAAGATTGTGCTTGACTAGGATGTAAATATTTATTTGATATGGTTGTTGTTGATAATTATGGGGAGGATTGTTTATTTTTGACTTTGTTTTTGAGATATGGCCTCAATATGTAACCCAGACTGGCACTGAACTCATGATCTTCCTTCCTTCCTTAACTCTGAACTGCGTTGAATTCAGGTATATGCCATCGTGCCTGACTCAGGATAAACACTGCTTTCTATTTGTCTTTACAGTTGGAGAAGATGGGTTAATTTCTCCTGAAATACTTGTTATAGTTTGGTCATTTTTTGAGGCCTTATCCTCATGTATGGACTAAAAGAATAAGACTTTTTATTCTCCAGATGTAGGATTTTATAGTTTTATGAATAAGGTTTTTTTTTTTTTTTTTTTTTTGCTGGTGCTGAAGAGTGAGGATGAAACATAGGGACTCATAGAGGAGAGGCAAGTGTCCTGTCACTGAGCTATGCTGCCAGCTCCATTGCCAAATATAATTAGAAAAAATAACAATAACAATGTATTTGTTGCATCATTATAACTTTTGATGAGTAGCCATGGACTAATGAGTTAATTGGGATTATATTCACATTTGTGCTTCCTGTAACAGTATATGCAAGAATAGCAATGAACATAGTCCAGTTCTGCTCAAAATTTGCATATAACAATCCTAGCTGTAATTCAGTACTGGATGTCCCACTAAACAATGATCAATTGTCCTTTGTACAGAATTTTAAAATTACAATTAATGAACCCACTCAATTTGGGGCTTTTTAATATTTTAAATGTATATGAGTGTATTGCCTGCATGTGTGCATGTGCACCCTGGTCGTGCAATGCCTGCGGAGGTCAGAAGAAGGCATCTGATCCCCTGAAACTGGAGTTACAGATGGTTGTTAACCTCCATGTGGGTGCTGGGAATCAAACCCAGGTCCTCTGCAAGAGCAGTCAATTCTCTTATCCACTGAGCCATCTCTCCAGTCCCTCCACTTTTGGTTTTTAAGCTTTATCTCTATAAATCTCAATAATTGTAACTAAGAATAGAATTCATACATAAACTCACATTTCATGCTTCCCAGTGACAGTGGTGAAAAGTACTTAGAAGACAAACAGTAGGAGTCTTCCGGATCCTTATGACAGATACAGACTGAATTTAATACAGCTTATGGTACACCAAGTAAATCCACAGTGTAAGGAGATGTATGGTGCAATGAAGTTACTTGCATCCCTGTTGTCATCTATGCTCTCATTTATAACATGGAAAAATTAAATGTTTTCTTGCCTTCTTGTTATCTTGGAAATATTTTAGCTTCTAATGGGTTTACCAATCAGATTGACATATTTATAGTCACAAACAGATAGTTCCTTCTCAGATATTTCTCATCAGAAAAATTTTCAGAAAATATGTGTTATGTTGTACATATAATTTAGCTCTACTGAATTTCTACTTATGTAAACAACCGCTTCTGAGCATTCAGCCAGACCAATTAAATTGTTCTTAACAAGATTTCATTTGCAGGCAAAGAAAACACTGGATAAAATGTGGCAAGACCTAGTAAAATCTATTAATTCTTGAGACACAAAATAGATTAAGGTTCGGGCTGGAGTGATGGCTCAGCGGTTAAGAACACTGGTTGCTCTTGCAGAAGACCCGGGTTTGAATCCCAGCACCAACATGGCAGCTAACAACTGTCCGTAACTCCAGTTCCAGGGGATCCAACAGCCTCTTCTGTACTCCGTGGGCATTGCAGGACACGGGTGCACTTACCTACATGCAGACAATACATGCATACGCATAAAATAAAAATAACTAAAATTAAAAAAAATAAATTAAGGTCTATGTGTCAATATTTTCTGCAGTGCAGCTTTCACTTCCTAATTTCTCAAACTGTAGATGAGAGGATTTAACATAGGGATCACCGTTGTATAAAATATGGAGATCATCTGATTTCCTGCCTGGGATCCATGCCGAGAGGGTTGTAAGTAAGTGTACATAGTTGTTCTGTAGTACAGACCAACAACAGTCAAGTGGGAAGCACAGGTAGAGAAGCCTTTCTGTTTTCCAGAAACGGAAGGAATTCCAAGAATAGTCATGAGTATAGAAATGTAGAAGACAAGGATCAGCACTACAGAGGTGACAAGGGTGAATCCCCCACAGCCAACAACCAAGATCTGAGTTACCCAGGGATCCGAGCAAGCCAGTGCCAACAGTGGTAGGATATCACAGAAGTGTGAAATGACATGTGGTTCACAGAAAGATAGCTGTGTGATGGAAATGGTTACAACGATTATGTTAACGAACCCACCAAGGTAACATCCTGCTACTAAGAGGAGACAACAGATTCTAGACATGGTAATGTGGTAGAGCAATGGTTGACAGATGGCAGTATAACGATCGTAGGCCATGGGAGCCAAAACGTTACATTCAGCAGAGGCAAAGATTATGAACAAGCCCATTTGAGTCATGCATCCAAGGAAAGAAACTTCCTGTAGCTGAGAAAATAAATTGGCTAAAGCCTTTGGAGTTATTATAGAAGAGAAACAGACATCAAGGAAGGACAGATTAGAGAGAAAAAAGTACATGGGAGTATGGAGGTGGTAACTGACTTGGATCAGGACCAGCAGGCCTAAGTTTCCCAGCACAGTAACAATATAAATAATAAAGAAGAGTCCAAATAGCAGGACTGCAAGTTGATGGTTATCTGTCATGCCAAGAAAGATGTATTTAGTCTCTGCAGATGAATTCTCTATTGATACAATTGAGAATAACTCTTGATTTGGTAAAAACTCTTTAGACATGCTATGAAAAAATAAGAGAAAACCAAATGATATGCATAAGACAGCCAAAGAAAACACATAGATCTAGGACACTGTTCAACCCCTCCCCCTATCAATAGTTCACACATTAAACCCTTTCTTATATGGTAGTACCATTTTCCAGATGTAACATGGAATTTAAAAAATTATCCTGTGGAATTTAAAAAATTATCCTGTGGAATTTTGTTTTGCTCTCTCTCTCCCATGCCCAGGGAATTATTGGAATTGTGGTAACACAAAGGTAAATAGGTCAACTAATTTCATCACAGACAGCCTCTCCCCACACTTTGAGAATATGAAATATTATTTCTGACACAAAATAAAGTCACAGATACTCATTATTTGTGTCAGTCAGCCAAGTGTTTTCCAGATCCATGGCCATGGCTTCACTGAAATAGTTGCAGAAATTAGAATGCCCCCAAAGGATCATAAGAAGCCAAGATCAAGCATGAAGGAACAGCTTGTATCCAACGAAAGAGCAACCAAAGAAGGATAAACACCTCAGGATTCATGCAGCTTCCATCTGACCTACCATTGCTTGACAGATTTCTTTGACCATGCGTGGGTCACAAGGAATGCAGATGCAAAATTAACTATGACTTCCTCAAAGACTTAATGAGCAACGTTGCCTGAGCAAAGGATCTGGTCTCAAAATGGTTGGTGTCAGGTGGTGATGACGCTGAATACTTTGGTTTCTCGTCCTCTCTACTGTGGTTACAGGCTATGTCTACTCCTACCTCACGCTACTGCCAGGACCTTTCCCTCGGTGAATCATCAGAAAACAGAATAGATGCATCTATGTAACTCCATCTCCATTTATAAAATCTAAACCAAGTCTTATGACCTCTGGATTATTGAATGGCCATCAGTACAGTGGAATCCAGAATGGGTTCCTGAGGCAGGAAAAGAGGACTGCAGAAGAATCATCCTAATCTTGGAAAAAAGGAAAGTCCTAGCAGGTATAGCTTAAAGGTAGAACTCTTGTGAACCTGGGTTTGAACCCTAGAAATTAAAAGTAAATGATTTTCATATTTATATGGCTCATCAGAAGACACAAATTCATTATCTAGAAAAATAGTTATTTTTTCTGATTCTGGAGCCGTATGGAACTATTTGAATCTGCTCACAAGAGCAATTGCTCTGTTATCTAGGACTCAGCTTGTGGTAGTTTTAGATTACCCTGTAAAAATTGACATACTGTAAGAAAAAGTGCTTGTATATATTAGATGCTTACTAAAATTTTTCTCCATTCTTCCATGACTACTCATATCTGTGTTATGTGTTTTCAGTGTTGCTTCTCCACATGTCACTAAATGCAGGCAGAGCTATGATGTGTGTCGTTAATAATCATTTTGGATTGCTAAAAGTGAGCTTTTGAGTGACTAGCTAAAATATAAATCTCTCAGCTTCACATGCTCCATTCCCTTACACACACACACACACACACACACACACACACACACACACACACTTCTGTCAGAAGAGATTGTTCTATGAAACTGTTAGGGTTAACTCCTGCTGCTGTGCCAAATGGAACATTCTTCAATGCATAACTTTAAATGGGTGAAAAGAATAAAAATGTAACTAAGTGTAACTAATGGAAAGAAAATCACTTTCAGAAACAAAGATGAGGGGTCAGGTCTTGAAATTAATTTGTATTTTCAGTAGGTGGCAAAATAAGAAAACACATAACCAGTTTGAATTCATGTTTTCTCATCTCAGAAACCAGAAAAAACAATACCAACTATTCCTCTTTTAGGGTTGGCATGAAAATCAAATAAGATAATGAATGTGGAAGCACTCTGTAAACTCTGAGGCATGATACAATACACATGGAACAGATCCCTGCTATTATTCCATCTTGGAAGGTGGGAGAGGGAGGAGGAGCACGTCAATGCACTCATTTTCTGCTGCCTCTTCCAGCTCCTGCTTACAGCACTGCACTCTCTGCCCTCCCACTCATACACACACACACACACACACACACACACACACACACACACACACACATCATCTGCTATGTTGGTCCACCATGAGAGTTTCAACCCGTGAAGGCTTAAACAAATAGCTCTAGGCTGTTCACATATCTTGGATCATCAGAAAGTCGGGTTCCTTTAAATGTTATTTGCACATTCTTGTGTCATTTTTTAAATTTCTCATTTCAGGATAACTCTTTTCCTTGGCATCCACACGCATCGTAAGTATTCAATAAATATACTTGAATGAATAAGTGACTATTAAATAGTCTTGAAAACACTGTGTAATCTTTTTTTTGTATTTAAAATAAGGTTGAATTGCTTTTTCTTCCCAAAGGAAATAAACATAAAAGTAAGGCTTTTATAAAGGAATGATTTGATACTCCCATCCAGACACGCTGCTGCATTAACTACTGTCATGATGACAAGTGAAGGGGGTTATTCACCCTGGATGATGTGTCCTGGCTATAATTGTTGGAAATGCCCAGACACTCCTATTTCTTGAAGAAGTGACCTTTTATATGTTTTTTAATGCATTCATGCACTTTTTCCTAGAGACATTTGCATTTACAGCATTTAGTCTTCAAAAAGTTCATTCCCCGTTTTTACAGTTTTTCAATCCTGTAGTTAACTATGAATCTTCTAAAAATAGATAAACAGAATTTAAAGAAAGATTCACTCATTTACCTCTTAATTAAAGTGGTCTGAGTGTTTATTAAGTGTCTGGCTACCAAAACTCATCTATTTCAATTCACTAATTTTTAGTTAAAACAAAAAATAGTAGTCCAAAGAGCTCGAATGAAATAGTGACAGTGCTGGTGTTGAAACTCAGATATTCTGACCTAAAGCAGTGACTCCTTATATAATATTATATTCATTTATTTTTAACTTGTTTTCTGTAGTTATTCTAGAGGAAACTTTTGCCTTTGATATATTCATTCCTCTAATAATAGATGAAAGGTAATTCTCTGTTGCTGTATTTCATCTATATGATCTTGAGCAAATTGCTTACTTGTTGTGGATCCTAGTTCCTTCATCAATAAAATGGAACTGCTAAACTAGGTGGTCTCTGAAGCTCTTTGCCGCTTCGTTCTAATTTCCCATGGCTCTGTGAGTCATGCTGTTCAAGGGTCACCAGTAATTCTCAATATCTGATGGGGGGAAGTAGCAAGAGCAAATTTCTGTGGTGATGTGAATCTGTACTCTACAAACCTCTCTGCCCTTCGCTGCTCTTTCCTCCCTCAGTATTAGAAATGTCTTCCTGGCATTTGCTCTCCTTGCAAGTCACTGAAGACCACTGTGGAAATAGATGCGAGAGATGATTTCAAAATTTCCTCTTTACTTGAAAATACAAAATACTTGGCCAAAGACATGGTTAAAGCATCCAGGCGCATCCTAATAGTATAACTGAGCAAATTGATCAATTACTCTGAAATCCATTTCCTTATCTAAAGTTGAAATTAAGACTACCTAACCATAACTGCTATCTTGAAGATTAAATACCACATACAAATAAAGTACTTAGCTGATATTTAGATGCTTACTAAATGTGTATTTTTATCTCCTTGAAAGTCCATTTCTAGTGTACACCACAATTTATGTGAAATGTTCAGAAAAAGTAAATATATAGATACAGAAAATACAACGGTTGTTGCAGGGTCTTGAAGAGTAGTGAAGAAATGGATGGAAGATACAGGATTTGTTTTGTTTAAGGATGAAATGTTCTGAAAATGGTAGATTGGTAGTTGCACAGCTGTGAGTATACTAAAAACCAATGAACTGTGTAATACACACAGATATATATAGTATGGGATTATATTTCAGTAGAGATTTTGTCCTCCACAAGTTTTGATAAATACTCGAGCAAAGAAAGCCATTGTTGATCCCCTAACTGGACCTACATAACTCCAGTGCCGTACAACAGAAAGCCATACATACTGCATAATGTCGCCAATTTAGCCACACTTTGAAAACTTTTACAATAACAAAATAAATATATTCAAAGGAAATGATAAAATTACAATGGCAGAAATAAAGACTTGATAAATGGAGAGGTGCTTTGTGCAATATTATTTAAGTGAAAGTACAGATTTAATGCAATGTGAATTAAAGGGATAGTGGTTGAAAATGTCTCAGATTTTAAACTTTATTACAAAGCCAATCATATAAAGAGACTGATTGGTTAAAAATAAAGATTGAAGAAGTAGCACATTTATTTTTAGGCAAAAGAAGAACCAAACTCTTACGAAAACTTCTCTTGGTAACACACACACACACACACACACACACACACACACACACACACGTACTTGGAATACCTCATTAAGTATTGTAGAACTGTATCAGAAAAGAAATGAATTAGGGTATGTAACTTGCTTCAACAAGTTTCACATGAATCAAAAATTAAACAAAGAAATATATCCTATGAAATTGGACGGAAAACCCAAACAGAACAACATTATTTCTTGCTATGTTGCTGAAAAAATAGTGTCATCAAAGTCAGAGTGATGTATACAGAATTAGGATGATGTGCTCTAACACATGATTAATAATCTTTTGAACACAGTATTATAATAATGAAGATCAAAGAGGCCACAACTAAAAGGGAAATGATATGGAGTAAGAAGAATTTTTTAAATATACTAGTTAAAACATGTAAAGAAATAATAAAACATGAGACCTCAATGTATAAACCTCACTTGACCCATTCTTTTGATCAAAGCATGCACAGTCGGTAAACACTGACAATGTAATCGTAGGACAGGGAACATGACCTGATAAAAATAGAAATTAAAACAAAATTTCTTCTAACCCAGTGTATGTATGTAATAAAGACCAGTGTTAGGAAGTATGTCACCATCTAAATTGCTGGTAGTAATATACATTTTTGGCACATACTAAGATGGTGTATAGCTA